ACAATACGATGGTATCGAAGCGAGCCCCCTTCATTTTTTTCTTCAAAGTCGACATGCATGTCGCCCACCCCTCGCGTCTAGAGCGCTTTTGTCCGGATAAAATCGGAGAAATATAAGCATGGTCGATATATTATATATCAAAGGTTTGATGTGAGCTAATCAGAACGGTGCCTGCACAAAATCCCAGCGGACATGCTGCGGCTCGAGCGTGCTGCGGGCAAAATTCCAGTTCGTGCCGTGGCGCTGTGATGCATCCAGATACCAGTACATATAGAGCTGGGTCGCCACCTCGTAGCGACTTCGCCTGCGCTGCGACAACAACGCTACTCCTTGCTACCCCTGTGTCGAGTTGTGTCATGAGAGAAGAACACTATTGAGAGGGTGTGTCATGAGAGAAGCACGCTATTGAGAGGGTGGGAGAACGTCATAATTAGTTTCCTTCCAGCGACTGTATTCTAATATCAGGAGGCATCGAAGAAGGGAGATGATGGCTAAATAGGAGGGCTTAGCACTTCCAGCGCTTCCCGCAGTCGTGGCAGAGCACAAAGACCGTCATGGGCTCATCGGCACTGCGCGTCTGCTTCTGCGTGTTGCTCGTGTTGGTCGACTTGCACTTGCCGCACGTGAAGAGGCCCCGCGCGTCCGTGATGCCGCACTGCTTGTTGATCTTGTCGGCGTTCGCCACATCCCAGTCGAGGCGCGAGCTCTGGAACGCGTCATCGCGGAACTTGTCCTTCTCGAGGCGGAGCTCCTGCGTCGCGAGCTCGTCCGGCGTCATGAGCACGAGCTGGTCGGCCGTCACGGTGAGCGTGAGCACCTCGTCGCGCAGCATTTCGTTCTTCTTGAGGTTGAACGAGAGCTGGCGAAACTTGCTCGTGTACTCCTTCTTCATGTCCGCGGGCTCCAAGCCCTTGTCCATCTTGTAGAGCTTGGCCATCGCCGTCTCGATCGACATGGCCGCAAACTCGGCTTCCGAGCGCAGATCTTCGTCCGCGAGCTCGAGCACTTCCTTGAGCTTCTTACGCACGGTCGTACGCACGTTGCTCAAGTTGGACGGCAAAAAGTTGGCCGACGGCTTCTTCTCGGCCGTCTTCTCGACCTTGCCCTCCAGCTTCTTGGCGACGGCGGCCATCTCGGTCGTCTTCTTGGGCGCGTCCTTGGTCACGTCGGTCGTGCTCGTGCGCGGCGAGAGCGCGAGCGCCTTCCACTTCTTGACGAGGTGCTTGGCCTTCTCGGCCACCTTGGCGTCGTCGTGCTTGCGCAACTTGCCGATGGTTTGGCCGATCTTGGACTCCTTGAGGAGGCTCAGCGTCATGGCGATCGAGTCGAGGTGGTCGAGCCCATCGAGGACGGCGCTTTGGCTGCCTTCGTCGCCCTGGAGGAACTTGGTCAGGCGTCGGTGGACGCGAGCGATGTCTTCCATGCTCATCTTGTCTTTTTCGAATAACCAACCAATGGCCCGACGGCTCCGAATTTCTCGTATTTTATTTTATTACGCAACCAAGCTCGCGTAGTGACTGGCGGGTGCGATCCGCACGCATTTTATTACGCTGTACTTTTGGCCAATCAGAGCGCGACATAAGAACTTGGATCGCGACCCTGTGTCGGTTCGCCAAAGCTACTACCGACAACTCGCACCCCACGACCACACCTCCTGGAGGACACGGGTGCATCTGCAAGCGTAAGAAGCCGTGCGAGCATTCAAGTACTCAGATACTTTGTTTTTGCGCCAAAATGCAATCAGAACTTTCTGCGTCGGGCCAACTCGACGCACGATGCGAGCAAGCGGAGGAAGGGCTCTCTGCATTGACAACCAAGCTTGCATGCACTTACTTCGCGGTATGTGGCCAACTCTATTGGCGCGCATGCACCAAACCCTGCATTCTGCATGGAGCTTGGCCGGTGCAAAGTTGTGTGCACGCGGAGAGATGGCTACAGATATTTGTAGCGTAGCTTGGTGGAGCCAGCTCCTTGTGGAGAAAAGCCACGCGTGGTTGGCATGGTTTGAAGTCACAAGGGCCAACACGACCCGCGTACAAACGACGAACTCTGGTCCAGGACAAGCTGTCGGGAGTCCGTCGTTGCACCCACGTTCGATGGCGCAGAGTTGGTACTACCGAGGGACGCACCAGCGTTTCAAACCCGAAACACAAACCAGGCGTCGGGACATGAACGACGACGACGACCGCAGCTGTCGGCCACTGCGTATTGGATGCATTCACCAACGTTGTTCTCCACACGGAGCATGGTGCAGACGACGCCACTTCACCACATCCCGCCAATCTCTCGCCACAACTGCAACTTGGCTCCAAATCCAAATCTGGCGCGCCCGAGCAAAAATCTGACAAACGAAACGCCGGAAATCTGCAATCTGAAAATTCAAAAATTGAAACGGAGCGCGTCTGAGATCAGCCCGTTGGCGGTGCACCTTCTAGAAGCAGCACGCCACGAAAGATCCGTTGGCCGAAATCCTCCAATCAGAGGCCACTTGGTAATTTGACCGCAGACGCACAGCATGGGCTCGGACGACGGACACAAGGTTGGCGACAACGGGCTGCCGATCATGAGCGCGGACGAGGCCAAGCCCAAGTACGTGGGCGTCGTGGCCTTCACCTTTGCGCCGCTGCTGGTCGGGCTCGGCATTGCCTATGCCATCTACACGCTTGGGGCCACGGGCGCCTACGACAAGCGCATCAAGGCGCTGCTCGCGACCGACTTGCACTGGGCGTGCGCGGCCGTGGTCGTGCTGGGGCGCACGATCGCCTTTGTCAACATGTACCCGATGGTGCACAAGAGCCAGATCATGAAGGGCAACTCTGGCAACCTGCGCTCGAACCCGTTCATCTACAAGGCGCTCGGCAAGGACGCGGCGCCGAACGCGGTGGTCTTTGACGACGCGGGCGCAGTTGGCGCCTACAACCGCGCGAACCGCTCGCTCCACCACATGATTGAGAACTATGGCGCGCTCGTGGCCGGCCTCGTGCTCGCCGCGCACGTGTTTGCGTTCCCCGTCTTTGTGTGCGT